CCCACTGTATATATATATATATATATATATATATAAAATCAGTCTTCAAGTATTTTAGTACACTTCAGTATGTTACTCTTATTAAGTAGGGGTCATTTTTTAGGATTCTATACTTAACCTAAGTCTCTGAGAACCTGACAGCTTGTACTTCTGGAGGCTCAAGTTAGGTTGCAGTTCTGGAAAATGGTGGTGCTGGAGACTAAATGGTTCCTGGTGATTTCACAATTCTTCACCTTAATTACAAATTATTTTGCGGTTAACATGCATCTTTTCTTCTCCACATGTTTTTGACTGACCCTGCTGACCCACTGTGCATTTTGCTGTCCAATGGTTATGCATTAACTTTGCAATTTCTAGTATTGTCTTAGTTTTGAATATTTCTCATGGGCATTTAATAATTGTGGGCTTTCAGTCTGAGTTAAATCTCTTTTTTGGCTCATTTTATCTGTAAAAGAAAATCTGCATAATACTTATGCACACCTGAATATAAGACATTTTTCACTCCCAACCTTCACGAATAATTATATATCAATTATATATGATTAAATAAAAGATTAATAGTAGTTATTAAGATTGATGTAGTTTGGAATTGGTAAAATGTGCTTGGAAAAAAATATAATCAGAATATCAACTTGCATAATAATTATGCATGCACTGTATTTTTCCTCTTCTGCTGTCGTGGTAATGCAAGAAATGCTGTGAGTGGTTGTCAAGGCAGTCAATCAGAATTTAGCAGCCTCGTCTCTGATTGGCTGGAATTATGGCATATTGTAACGCTGGGTTGTGTTGAGCACGCGAGCTGTTGGCATTTAGAGGGCATCAAGGGAGCAAGCTAGTGAAACGTTGCACGCGCAAAAGAGAAGGTGTGCACACATTCAAAAACTTATTTTAAATGCAAAATTGATTTTCGTGCGCTCGAAATAATTTTTTCTTTGCGAAACGAACGTTTTCTCCACAAAACTCAGATCGCGTGCGTGCAAAATGCACTTTTGTGCCCTCAAAATATGATCTTTCGCGCGCAGAATTGTGGCAGAGATCTAAGCCTATATTAGGTGCATCTCGAACGAGCTTAATATCAGCGAAGGGAGCAGTGAACACTGCGTAGGGACCCTGTCAATCGGAATGCACCTTAAAATACTTAATTTTTGTGTGGTGCTGTTACGTCATAAGGCTGCGCCTCTCTTCAGCTTGTGAAGAAAGGTTTGTGTTTTTAAGCGTTTAACGTACAGTGTTAAGGTCGATACAAACCCTTCTGTGTAAGTTATAGCTTTTACAAACGATGTTAAGTTTATTACTGAATGTAACACTGCAGTGATTCTAACGGTAATGCACGTATTGTTATTTATTTTTTTGTAAGTAAAGCACATCCGCACATGTTGAACAGATAAATCGCGTCTCATTTCTCTCCATATATCGTGAATCAGTTTAGCGTAAAGAATAATTATATCACTGTGAAGTAGTGATGGAGAAACGAAGCTGAACCAAATGTTTCCCAAAGTGATTCGCTGATTTTAAGCGCTCGAATGGCCGCTTGCTGAAATCACAGTGAGAACACAAACATTAACGTGTAATGACTGGCAGCTTTTACAAACAAACCACAAACGCTGTCGTGAATGTCAAAACGATTAAATGAGATCTACTAATAATTAAGTACCACATATACATTACACATATTTAAAAAGTAGCTTTCAATATAAATAAATAAATGTAAATAAATATGACAAACACATGTTTTGAGTTTTTTATTTTATTTTAATCAGGCCATTATTGTTCTGACTGACTCCTGACTTCTGGTCTAGGGAGGCAATCGAGACGTGGTTCAGAGATTTAGTACTTTGTGTTTATATTTCTTTCTGTTAATAATTCTCATCTTACTCCTCTGACAGAGTGTCCAAACAGCCAGAAAACACCAGGTGAAGTGACTGAAATCTACGATATTGTAAGGAGGATGTTTATTAAAGAGGAGAGCGAAGACATAAAGATTGAAGAAGCATTTAGAGTGAAACACGAAGCGTCTGAGGAACAAACAGGTCAGTTTCTTTCTCAGCGGCGCTCAGTCCTGATTGACCTTTTCAGAAATTAATAGTATTTTTTGAGTGGATTTGTATGACGTGGAGAGGGTTGCCTTGTGTAGACCGACATGTTGAGCAGTGTTGCCAAACCCCTCCCTCAGAAAATCTCTAGAACCACCCTCAAAAGTCTCAATTTTTCACAAAAAGTCGCCAAATATGAAAACAAAGTAAATAGAGTTAAATTTGGTAAAGGAAAGTATATATATATATATATATTTTACAAATGATGACAGTATAAAAAAATATAACACAAAATTCTGAAGTGAAATTAAGAAATGCTTGTGATCTGCAAGCACATCAAACATGATGGAAATGATGGAAAGACACAAAAGACACATAATGTTGGGAATTTGTTTTGCGTGTCACCAAAGTGCATCCCTGTCCTGCTCAAATACAACAGATAAGAGATATTATGATTCTCCAAAAACAAAAACTTTATTCATACAAACTTATTTCAGTCAACACACTCTATTACTACAAAGTAAGTGCAAAATACTGCATCCCAGCACACATGACACAATGATGCACTGTCTCTCTCTCTCAGTATCTGGTTGACATGACTGTGCATGAATTGTCGTATAACTTTTGTGTCCGTGGTTAAAACAAGATGTTCATTTTTTCTCCGCCATCTTGATTGATGCTTATAATGAAATTGTGGTGTGCATCATGGCAGGCGTGGCGTACTGGTGTGTTCTGCGCAGACTCATTGGCATGATTGAGAGCAAACGTAAGAAGGTCACGGGCCTACGGCAGGGTGTGGCCAAGTTAGTTTTATTTAAATATAGCTAAAATAACTCCTTGTCGCAAAAAAAAAAAAGGCCGCAGCTACAATGAGAAAGTAGCTAAATTTGGCCACAAAATCCCCACATTTCTACGAAGGTTCTCGAAGTAGAAAGTTGTTACTATGTAGCAGCTTTTAAAGTCAGTGGGTGAATTTTTTTTCTTCTCTAAAATGTGACTTTTTTTTTCAGACAGTCTATCAATAATCACTCTGGTTAGGGCTACATGAAGTGATTTCCCAGCATTTTTTTGAACACAGAGCAGTTGCAAATGTGAAAGGGTAAACGTAACTATTAAGCTCACCAAAATCTACATTGAGACATTTTTAGTGCTCAAGATATTGGTTTCAGTACAAAAAGTTATGTTAAAATAAAATATTAATCTCACAAAAATATTTAATTTTATTTTAAATGACAAAAGCATTTTAACTAAGATATACATCATTAAATGCAAAAAGTCCGGCTGTGCTTAATGGGTAAATTTTTGTACCCTTTAAGCACATCTCTGTTCCCAATAAGCTCACATCATGTTTTATTAAAAATTCTTGTTTATTTTAAAGTCAAGTCACCTTTATTTATATAGCGCTTTTAACAATACAGATTGTGTCAAAGCAACTGAACAGCATTAATTAGGAAAATAGTGTGTCAATAATGCAAAGTGACAATAGTAAACACAAATTTTTCAGTTAAAGGCAGTTCATCATTGAATTCAGTGATGTCATCATCCAGCTCAGTTCAGTTTAAATAATATCTTTGCAATCATTTGCAATCAAGACAACGATATCGCTAGAAATGAAGCGTCCCCAACTAAGCAAGCCAGAGGCGACAGCGGCAAGGAACCAAAACTCCATCGGTGACAGAATGGAGAAAAAACCTTGGGAGAAACCATGCTCAGTCGGGGGGCCAGTTCTCTTCTGACCAGACAAAACCAGCAGTTCAATTTCAGGCTGCAGCAAAGTCACATTGTGCAGAGGACTCATCTGGTTCCTGTGGTCTTGTCCCGGTAGCCGTCTTAGACAAGGTCTTCACAGGGGATCTGTATCTGGGGCTCATCTAGTTGTCCTGGTCTCCGCTGTCTTTCAGGGCTGTAGAGGTCCTTTCTAGGTGCTGATCCACCATCTGGTCTGAATATGTACTGGATCCAGGTGACTGCAGTGACCATCTGATCTGGATACAGACTGGATCTGGTGGCAACGGTGACCTCGGAATAAGAGAGAAACAGACTAATATTAGTGTAGATGCCATTCTTCTAACGATGTAGCAATCTACATCGGGTGTTATGAGAAGTGTTCCCGGTTTCCGGTTGACCTAATTAATGCAGCCTAAAAATCCTTTAACGGATTTGAATATTAGAAGCGTATTAGTGTGTTATGTGTAAGCCAGGTTAAAGAGATGGGTCTTTAATCTAGATTTAAACTGCAAGAGTAGAACAACTTTTAAACAACCTTTTTAAAGAATCATTTGTTTTTTTTTCTTTTTGAAGGTACAAAGTCAATCACAAAAAAACAACATGAAAATCAAGCAACAAGGCATTCAATTTGATCAGTTATATATTCATAGTGAAGTGTCATTTTAAAGCACACTGCAACCTATATACTAGTCTGCGTTCAGCTAAGTAACACACATTAAAAAATCTAATAAAACAATAAATAATTTCATTCATGGGAATGAACACAGAAACTAGCCTCATGAAGCCTCTTATTAAATGGATGTCAACTTGTCTGTCTTCTCTTCTCTTGAAAATAAATAATCTAGGTCATGTATTAAGGTCATACATATTTTATTATGAACAACTACTATTAACAATATCTATGAAATTATACTTTTTCTTATTGATGTCACACTGAAGCTGTGTGATTTTTATAGTAGTGTACCCTTTAAGCTCACCTTACAATAATGACATCTTTTAAAAATACAGCAGTATAAAACCACAGACCAGCAATAAACTGTAAATTTACCATATTATGGATGTAAAGGTACAAGCCAGTATTGCCTGTGAAGTAATATATTAGTGTAGCACACAATTTTATACAGCTAGTCAGCTAACTGTGTTCTGTAGCATCTGCGCTATGTTGCTTAAACTATCTTTTGGATCTAACTGTAATTATTTCCCAAGTTCCAGGTTATAATATGCAAAAGTTTAAACATTCTCTTAATTTCACAGCAAGTAGTGAAACTTACCCAAAATAAAGGCTTAAACATCTAAAAAATGCACATTTAAGGAGCTCCTTTTGGTGAAAGTTTTTAGACCACTTTCCAAATGGCCGCCAGACAGTGTGAACACACAGAGACTCATATCTCAGTGTGCACTGATCTGATTGACTTGAAATTACAGGAGGTATGTAGTAACAAACACATCAACTGGTTAAGACATCAAGTATGATAATACATTATTTTTTCTTTTTATAATCTGAGCTCAAATATGGAAGTGTGCTTAATGGGTACACGAGCTTAATAGGTACGTTTACCCCTATTTACAACAATTCAATAATAAGAAGTTAATATTGTGGTATAGACACAATATTGTCTGATTTTGCTAAATTGTGTGAACGAAAATATTACCTATAATGCCTGTAATGCAAAATGTTCTTTAATTTTGATTAAATAACTGTTGTGTGTCTCCTAACAATGCAGCACAATACTGTAGGTGTTTCACGTGAAGCAGCACTGCACAGACCGTTCTGTGTTTGACATCAAAGTACTGTGAGAGCGATTAGAGCATTTAAAAATGTTTTGTTTTGATGTCAAATAATTTTGTTAAAGCAGTGTTGCTGTTGTAAAGTTACACAGCTACAGTTGTGTTGCTGGGTTTTAAATCAGGTTTTATTTATTTTTTCTTAGTGTGTATTCACAGCAATTTCACTGGCCACTCGGTTCAAAAGTGGATGAATAGCTACACGTAGGTGTGTGCACTGCCAGAGCTGTGTGAGATCATTACCAAGCTGCTTTTGTATGGGTGGGTAGGGTGTTAAAAAAAATTTTTTCCTCCAGAGGTTTTTAACATTCTAAAATCTCTTTATTCCAAAAATGCTACAAGATAGTCAGTGTATTCAGTATGTGCAATGTATTATAAGTTGCTTCAGAGGTATTGCAAAATTATATACAACAATAATAAAACAGTGCGTTGACAAAAAAAGGAAATGTACTTTTGGTACTTAAGTAAAAGTACAGAAGTACTTGCTTTTGAAAGTACTTAAGTAAAAATCTTTCTTTACAACTTTCACTTGTAATGGAATAATAATTGATTAGCAGTATCTGTACTTTCACTCAAGCAATGGAGTTGTGTACTTTGTCCACCTCTGGTTGCATGTAGGGCTGTGACTGTCACCGTGACAACCGCCACCAGCAATAGTGCACGTGACGTCACACTCTATGAAGCCGAGAACACGCTACACTACTGTCAGGCCAATTATGAATGTAATTTGGTCTTGAGGACGGATCGTGTCCAGTCAGACCGGGTCTGTTCCAGTTGGGCTCAGTCGCTGTTTGCAGTTGGCAGAAAATAATCGCATAGTGTGTGGTGTCCAAAGATTATAATCTTAGAATTCAAGAATGTTGCCAGATTTTTTTTAACGGAGTGTCTATTTACACTAAGTGCAAACAGCCCACCTTGTTGGCAGAGGCTATTTACACTAGCTCCACCCACAAACGTATGATGGGGCTAGTCAACACTATAAAAGACGGCTGTCAATTGTTAGCTCCAGTAGCGTAGATGGTAAAGCGCGTAACTTAGTCTTCTTTTGACGCGATCGACCCGGGTTCAAATCCGCCTTTTGCCAAACTTTTTTTTCTTCTCCCTTTTCAAATCTCATATCACATCGGAAAGGCATTTATTTTCAATAAAAATTAAGGAAATAATCAAAAAGTTGAAAATAAAGTATCGGGTAGGTGTAGGAAGGGCTTTATTGTCCCAATAAGGTGGCATCCATTTAATAATTTAAATTAAAATTATAATTTACACTCAATACGTTATTACTGCATACTGTTTTATAATGTACTATAATACTGAGGTTCAGATAATTGCCACTATTTGCCATAAGTAGTATAAAAGCAGAAAATCCTGCTATTTTAACAGTGTAAATAGAATCTATCTATTTGCACTTAGTGTAAATAGCATATTGTTAAAAAATACTGCTATTTTCACATAGTGTAAATAGCATCCATCACTATTTGCACTTAGTCTAAATAGCCTCTATCGCTACGCCATTGTTACGTATGTTTGTTCGCGCTTGCCTTTAAAATCAACACGTACTGCACATGTCTACATACCTAACACGTACTACGCATGCGCATGACGTCAGCGTCAGAGATTCCCGTTTTGGGTGTTTACATGGAAACGATAACGGTGCCGTTTTCAAAAACTTGCACTTTGAAACCCATTTTCAAAAATATGCGTTTTCAGTCCCCAAAACACAGTTGTCGTGTAAACGAACAGGCAAAACGCATAAAAAGTTTCCAGTTTTTGGCTGAAAATGTTGTTGTGTAAACGGCCCCTTAGTCAGCTTTGACGAAACTCCTCTCAGCTAGCGCGTCTTTTCAAAGTGACTGTAGCCTTGTCACCTGACCTGAATACAATGCGCTGAATGTTTCACTAAAATAGGCTTAACAGCTTCTGTTCACAAACAACAAGGGCACTTGTCGGCATCTGCAGTAAAACGTGAACTCGCGATGCCTTGAGAGTGGACAATACCAGCTTTTTTGACAAAACGTGTTTAGGGTGTGGAGAATAATGCACGGCAGTTTTTTTTTTAAAGTGGTGTTTATCAGTTTTTGCAAATAAATTAATATGTCATATGTAAAATATCAATTGAAAATTTTAGTTTTTTTGTTGCAGAGGAAAAATCTATGTTATGGACGTGACATCTCTCCGTTACTGATGTGACCGTTCTGAAAGCAGAATTTATCCGACTATGGAAATGCGTATAAAATGCTTTTACAGAGACGTCTAGTGGGTTAATAGGGCTAGACCCCCCCCCCCCCAAAGATTTTTTAGTTAAGGAATAGTCGTTTGTTTAAGCCATTATTTAACTAATCACACATTAAATCAATAGACTAATCGATAATAAGCTTCAATATATTCCGTGCTCAATCACATGCATACAGTTTGTCATAAAGCACAGGCAAAAGTAGCCTAATGATTATTAATGTATAGAGAGACTTTTTAAGTATTTATTATTAAACTAATGTTTTCTCCAGTACTGGATGTGGCTTAAGAGTGAAATGAAACCTTCAGCTTACATAAACAGGGAGTATTTAATTTAGTTTTTAATTGGTCTATTTAAAAGTAGACTTTTTAAGCTTTCTATAGACATATTTCTCTTGTAGCCTATGTGAGAGACACGCTGAGTTTTGGTTCTTTTTTTGAGAAGTGCTCCAGTTCACAGAGACAGCACATTCTGTTGGTTTTCATTATTTTACAAAAGCACATTGTTATTATGAATTTACATAAAATCAGTTTCAAACTGATTTTAAGTTGTTTCATTATCAGGAAAAAATGCAAGTGATCGCGCGGGCGCCTCCCTGTCATGCATGCGCATTAATATTCCGCACAAACATTTGAATATGGGTAAAAAATATAGCACATTTATGAGTTAATGCTAGAGTTTGGAATCCACATTAAAATAAATCTTCACCAGTCTACATCTGAGACAGATGCAGTTATAACCTATAAATTGAAGGCTATTTGACATTTTAAAATGATTTAACAGACCAACGCCACTCCAATTTCTTTGATCATTAGTTGTTGATATAAAATGTTTTAATTTTCTTTATAAAATAAGACTGGTCCACGCCCTCCTAAAACGGCTCATTCTAACACGCCCCCACATGTCTACATCACTGTGTGGGAAGATTTGCATAACACTGCCCAAATGTTCATGCAAAGAAAGAAGGCGTAACTTTTATTCTCGCTGTAGTATTGTTATTGCGCTGCCGCCATGTCGTGGAGATGCTGTGTGTTTCGTTGTGAAAGCGAAACTACTTTGTTTTGCCTTCCAAAAGAGGACGATATCCGTTTCGTCATGCCTAGAGCTGATCCGTGCTGGTCGCTGAGGAAATACATCAACTTCACGCTGTGGATCGCCGGATCGGCTTTTCGTCACACGCTTGAGGTATTCGGCCAATCACAACGCACTGGATAGCTGGCCAATCGGAGCACACCTCGCTTTTCAGAACGATGAGCTTTGTAAAAATCATAGAGGGGCATAGAGGAGCAACAATAATGTACATTATGTGGAAAATAATGTTTTTTGAACCTTAAACCGCATAAACACATTGCATTACACCAAATACACAACATAATGTTCTTTTTAGCAACCTCATATGACCCCTTTAAACAGATGGCACTAAGAAAACGTTTTAAAAACTTGCTTATGCATTAAATAACTAAGATTCAATACAGGTTAAGTAAAATATGCTGAATATATAATATATAATACAGGTTAAGTAAAATATGCTGAATATATAATAGGCTATTTGTAACTATTGTACAAATATTTACAAAATAGGACTGCAGGTTCACATTTTGTTTCTGCATTACAAAGTGAAAAAAAGATAACTCCACATGCGCGCCGAACACGCAAAATCTTGCACTCTGCTTGCATGCAGCGCAGATAGTGACGAGAGTTATTTGAAACATAAAATATTTAAATAAGATAATACCGACATTGAACATTGACATATTATATGACATTTAAAAAAAAATAGCCAGTAAATCTCACATCACGTGCTTTCAGATTTACTACACAGAGCCGTAGTTCACTGACAAGCTATGCAATATCGCGTTCATTATCGGCGATGCATGTGATATTGTGTAGCTTGTCAGTGAACTACGGCTCTGTGTAGTAAATGCTGTTTTAAATTATTTGCACAGCCCTAGTTGATAGCTTGCTGAGCCACTTCGACAGGTTGAGAGTTTGGAATCTCCGTTTCAGAGCCGGGATCAGAAGCTTGATCTACCAGAGATAATACCTCATCTATGTCCAGATGAGACATAATTCCGGGAAGGTAGATTGATAGCAGCAAGAGGAAAACTGTAACATAAGCTTTCATAATCGCGCAACGTGCTGAACACTGGCTAGGATACAATATATATGCTTACGTGGATTAGCAAGTACTCCAGATTGGCTGGTGCGGTGGCGTTGAATGGACCAATTAGCGGTTAGTTAGTTTCATGCCTGAACTATGTATTTAAAAAAGTGAAATCACAATCAACCACCCCTTTAAATGAAAAGTCTATAACGTACTTTGGTTAAAATGTCTCAATTGTAGTGTAAAACAACACCCTTTTTACCCTGTCAAATATAACTCTGTTCACAGCAAGCTGTTTTGTTGCATGTCCCTTTAAATGCTAATTAGCTCTGCTCACCCCGCCCCTCTCTTCCTTGGGGTGACAAGCCGTTCTCTTAAGAGAGACTCTTAACTTTAGCTGCATTCATCGTGAAATTTGCTAACTAGCACATTATTAGGAAAGGCGATTTGCAAATATTCATAAAAAAAAAACGTACACACACTTCTGCTGTAGGTGAAGCTGGATCACGAATGATTTGCACGAACATACAGTGGGTACGGAAAGTATTCAGACCCCCTTAAATTTTTCACTCTTTGTTATATTGCAGCCATTTGCTAAAATCATTTAAGTTATTTTTTTTTCCTCAATGTACACACAGCACCCCATATTGACAGAAAAACACAGAATTGTTGACATTTTTGCAGATTTATTAAAAAAGAAAAACTGAAATATCACATGGTCATTTAGGTAGATTGGGGGCACGTTCCCTTCAAAAACAAATGTAATCCACTGCGTCTTCAGCTGCTCAGATGTCGAGAGTAAATGATGACTGCTATGTTCATTAGTACATCAAACAACAAAACACCTCAATCGCTTAGGAGTCATTCTTGTCTACACCTGCTCCAGCGGTGAAACCATGGCGGACTGATGACAGCTCACTCAGGGCGGGTCTAAGGTAAGACACCAGTCCAGTCTGTCCTGAAACGCTACTGTCAATCAAACTATCGTGGGAGGGGCCTGTCTGTGTGACGTCACACAGACAGGCATCTGAGATCGGCTCGATTTGAGAAAGCTGGCGTCGAAACAATGGCGGACTGTTGAAAGCTCACTCAGGGCGGGTCTGTGATAAAACACCAGTGTCAATCAACAATCGTGGGAGTGGACTGGGTATGTGTGATGTCACACAGCCAAGAATCTGAGATCGGCTTGATTTGAGAAAGGGGTTATCATTTATCAGGATTAAAAAAAAAAAAAAACACTGGGTGGATTTTTATCATTAGAGGGTGGTTGTGTACACACACTGCCAAGACAGATTTCAATTCAAACGACAAGTAAAAATTAATTTTGCATCCGATGACCCCTTTAAGAAACGACTAAAAACAAAAATCTCTTCCATTTTTTTTATTTGACCCTCCAACTCTAGCCCTCTATTCTAATTCTATTGTATTTTTGTTTTATTTTTTTATTAAGTACTCTGTATTAAGTTTTCTAACTGCTTGTTTTCTTAAAGGGCTCTAACACTAGCTTTCTCTATTCTTTTTCTGTTCTATTTACTTGTTTTCTTTATATATATATATATATATATATATATATATATATATATATATATATATATATATACACACACACATTACATATAAATATAAACCTTGCTACATGTATTGCGTCAGGCTAACCAAAACTTGTCAGAGCACTTGCGTATTATTGCTCTTTTGTTGGTTTTGATTGCTTCTATTGTCCTCATTTGTAAGTCGCTTTGGATAAAAGCGTCTGCTAAATGACTTAATGTTATGTCATGTAATGTAAATGAATGATCTATGACTTTTTTTCACTTTGACCAAAAATTACCTTCTCTTCTAAGTTTATATCACTCTAAGCATGAAAAAATGCAAGTGATCGCAATGGCGCCTCTGCTGACCCATGGGGGTTAAGCAAATATATTTGTTGCTAATTTGCTTTAGAACAAGCCAAAGTGGCTTCAAATATCTGTAGCCATTTGAAATTAGAGGCACCATTGCATTATAATTATTATTCAAACAAAGATGTTACACACATGTTGCATGAAATGTTTTGATTCAAATAAGATTGTGTAACATTGGGATTTAAATACCTGCACAAAACAAAACTAGCACATGGACTGAATGAAAATGCACATTCATTCACTTATAGAACAGCAGTGATAGAGCATTTTCTCTCTTTACAGCTGAACACAAAGCATCGGTGTGCTTATAAACACTACTTTATATGGCGCTAAAAGAAAACACCATCTAAACTTTCCTGAAGACAGTTCCATTCAGAGATTCCTATTAAACTCCCACCCCCAGTTTATATTTCCTTCCTATATTTCATGCATTGTGAACAAGTTTGCTTTGCCTGCCTATTTTCTTTCTGCTGGCACGTCTGTTCTCTCTTCTTTGTATCCGTATTCATTGCATTCAATCTTTGGCTTGTGTTAACATCCTTTTTACAGATGGATAATATTTCCACACCAATTATATTTTTGGAAGTTGTTGCAATGCAAGTTTGTGTGCTAGTCCAGTGCAGAGATCAGCTAAAACAAAAAAACGACTAGTTCTGATTTATGGCCAGTCGACCGGTGCATCTCAATTTCAAAGCATAGTAGTTATAGGACAGGTGTGTCCTACTCCTGGAGGGCCACTGTCCTGCAAAGTTTATCGCTAACCCCAGTTAAACACAACTGCACTAGTAAATCAATGTCTTCTGGCAACTTAGGAAACTTCCAGGCAGGTGTATAATCCTTGTTGGAGCTAAACTCTTTAAGACCTCCAATAAACTGAGGTTAACTTTAATTTGTTTGTTTGTTTTTTCTCCTTAGACCCAATGGCACTGAAAGAGGAGAGGGAAGTACTCGATGAAATTGATGTGAAAGATCAATATGAGGATCTTCTTGATTTCACAACTGGAGATAAATCTTTTTGTTGTTCACAGTCTGAAAAGTCCTCCACACGAAAAACAGCTCAAAAGAGAGGGGAAAAAAGTGATTTTACTTGTTTTAAGTTTGGACAGAGTTTCAATCAAAAAGTAAAACCTCAAGTCCATTTGAGAACTGGAAAGAGGCATTTCACTTGCCAACAGTGTAGAATAAGATTCACTCTAAAAGGAAGCTGGAACAGGCACATGAGAATTCACACGGGAGAAAAGCCTTACACCTGCCAACGATGTGGAGAAAGTTTTGCTCTACATAGAAACCTTAAATTCCACATGAGAATTCACACTGGGGAGAGCCTTTTTACCTGCAAACAGTGTGGAAGAAGTTTTAACAGAAAAGGAAACCTTATTGTCCACATGAGAATTCACACTGGAGAGAGACCTTTCACCTGCCAACAGTGTGGAAGAAGTTTCAAAAGAAAAGGAAACCTTCATTCCCACATGAGAATTCACGCTGGAGGGAGCCCTTACACCTGCCAACAGTGTGGAATAAGTTTCACTCAGAAAGGAAGCATTAACAGGCACTTGAGAATTCACACTGGAGAAAAGCCTTACACATGCATTCAGTGTGGAAAGAGTTTTGCTCAACTTGTAAACCTTAAAGTCCACGTAAGAATTCACACTGGAGAGAGCCCTTACACATGTCCTCGGTGTGGAAAGAGTTTCGATAAGAATGAAAACCTTAAAGTCCACATGAGAATTCACACTGGAGAGAAGCCTTATTCATGCCTTCAGTGTAGAAAGAGTTTCAATACTCATGGAAGCCTAAAAGTCCACATGAGAGTTCACACCGGAGAGAAGCCTTACTCCTGTCTTCAGTGTGGAAAGAGTTTCAGTAATCAAGGAAACCTTAAAGTCCACATGAGAATTCACACCGGAGAAAAGCCTTACTCATGCCCTCAGTGTGGAAAGAGTTTCACTCAAAAAGTACGCTTTGAAGCCCACATAAGAATTCACACCGGAGAGAAGCCTTTCACCTGCCAACAGTGTGGAAAGAGTTTCAATCAACATCGAACCTTGAAAGACCACATGAGAATTCACACTGGAGAGAAGCCTTTCACCTGCCAACAGTGTGGAAGAAGTTTCACTCAAAAAGGAACCTTTAACAGGCATAGGAGAGTTCACACTGGAGAAAAGCCTTACACCTGCCAACACTGTGGAAAGAGTTTCTGTCAACGTCGAACCATAAAAAACCACATGAGAATTCACACTGGAGAGAAGCCTTTCACCTGCCAACAGTGTGGAAAGAGTTTCTTTCAGCGTCAAACCTTAGAAAACCACTTGAGAGTTCACTCCGGAGAAAAGCCTTACACCTGCCAACATTGTGGAAAGAGTTTCTGTCAACTTCGAACTATAAAACACCACATGAGAGTTCACACTGGAGAAAAGCCTTTCACCTGCCAACAGTGTGGAAAGAATTTCTATCAACATCGATCCTTAAAAGAACACATGATAGTACACACCGGAGAAAGGCCTTTCTCTTGCCAACAGTGTGGAAAGAGTTTCTATCAACATCGAACCTTAAAAAACCACATGAGAGTTCACACTGGAGAAAGCCCTTTAACCTGCAAACAGTGTGGAAAAAGTTTCGATCAACATCAAAACTTAAAAAACCACATGAAAGTTCACACTGGAGAGAAGACTTTCACCTGCCAACAGTGTGGAAGAAGTTTCAACAGAAAAGGAAACCTTAATGTCCACATGAGAATTCATACTGGTGAAAAGCCTTATACATGCCCTCAGTGTGGAAAGTGTTTCACTCAAAAAGTGTGCTTTGAAGCCCACATAAGAATTCACACTGGAGAGAAGCCTTTCACCTGCCAAATGTGTGGAGAGAGTTTCAATCAACATCGAACTTTAAAAGACCACATGAGGGTTCATACCGGAGAAAAGCCGTTCACCTGCCAACAGTGTGGAAAGAGTTTCACTCAAAAAGGAACCTTTAACAGGCATAAGAGAGTTCACACCGGAGAAAAGCCTTACACCTGCCAACAGTGTGGAAAAAGTTTCAGTCAACGTCGAACTTTAAAAGACCACATGAGATTTCACACTGGAGAGAAGCCGTTCAACTGCCAATAGTATGGAAAATGTTTCACCCAAAAAGGAAGTGTTAACAGGTATGAGAATTCACACCAGAGGAAAGGAATATACCTGTCAGCAGTGTTGTGAGTTTTGCTCAACATGGAAACCTTCAAGTCCACATGAGAATTCACACTGAAGAGAGTCTCTTCACTTACCAGTTTCAACTGAAAAGGAATTATTAACCCTTTGGGGTCAGAGGAGGTTTTTGGGCCCTAGTGATGTTTTGACTTGCCCTAACATTTGTGCTTATTTCAGTTTTTAATTGGTGTTTACACTGTATTTAGTGCAAACTGTTACAATAATGTGTGTAGCATGTATGGAAATTTTTTTTTTTTTTTTTTGAGGAAACATTTAAGTGTGGTTAATGGAAAAAAAATATTTTGTGAGTCACTAAAATAAGCCCGTAAATGCATCTTGAACATATTTTAGAGAACTTGATCCTGTAGCCCAGTGTTTCCCAACCGGGGTGCCGTCTGTCGAGAGCACGGGTGCCGTGTAAAAAAAAATATTTTTTAATATTTTTAAATTGCTAAAATGTTCAAAAAAGCATCTATTATATAATATCCATTTCTGATGTCGCCAATAATTATAGATGCACTGAAATTTCGGCTGCTGAAAATTAGTTCACCGCTCAGGTTTCACTTTCACGTGGAATGACGCTCTGCATATTATCCCGCTCTATGCATGTGCATTTCGCTCAGTCGCTCCACTCGTATACCGTTCATGCTCATCGGAACAGCAAAGTCCACTCACAAATCGAGCTGACAGGAAATATCGATGTAGTACAGTATTGTTTCTGTCTGCAATAGCCGTACTGTAACATGGTGTGGTATATGGGAAACTCTGGTAATGCGGCCGTCTCATTCATTGATCTGCTAACCGCTATGTTATGCTCACGTGTTCTGATAATAATAGCTTTCTAGGACTAAACATTATTTGAATAATTGGTAAAAAAAAAAAAAAAAATTCAATATCTTAACCCTACTGTTAGACCTTCCTGAAAAACTAAAAAGCAATTTATTTAATTCGAAGACCTGTCGTTATTTTTTATTTGTGCTATCATTATTGATTTCTTTATTTGTTATTATTTTATTACTGACTGCATACTTGTCATTTTTTATTCAATTCAAAGTTTGAAATCAAGCTATCTCATGCTACTGCACCAAAATTACCACATTGTAAAATAAAAAAAAACACTGAGTGAGCAAACATTTGTGAGATAGCTAGTTATAATGGTAATTAAATAATGTTTACATATGTATAAAATTATATACATTAAAATCTGTCATATAAATTGGTCTCTTCATTAGAAATTAGCCTACTGATTGGCACCATTAATGGACAATTTTTTTTTAATAATATTAAAAATATCTGTATGACATTATATTCTGCAGTTCTTCCCTGTTGTACCGAATATCTATACTTTTCAAATTATCACATCGAAGTTAGAAATTCAAATATTGTGACAATTAATTTTGTAGGGTGCCACAAGTTTGTTAAAATTTCCAAAGGGTGCCGCAACTACAAAAAGGTTGGGAAACACTGCTGTAGCCTATAGTTTTTACTACAAAATGAGGTGAAAATCATCCTGCTCTATAAAGCAATATTCGTTCCCCAAAATGATTCATATAAAACAATATATTGTTTTAAGTATTGTAATAAGCTTTTTTGTGATGTCAGTAATGAAGCTTATTTCACCTCGATCATGTAGAATATCCATCCTGTGTAGATGAACTTACTGATGTTGGTACAATTTAAAAATGCAAACAAACAAATAAATAAATACAAGTTTGAGCAGATATTCGTCAACGCAGTACTTCACTGTAAACACTTGTCTAAACATTCTTAGGGTGCTTTCACACTTGGTTCGATTGCCTGGTCCGAACCAGAGTTCGATAGCTCCCCCTGCCCCCGCTGGACTGTGTTCATATTATTTTATTTGGGTCCGAACCTCGGTTCGGTTGAGTCATCAAGCCAGCAGCTTGATTACTCTGTTGCTTAGTAACGACGACGCAGGAGAAGGCGGCAAAATGCTTAGTTGCTTTCTTCATTTTTATATATTTATGTTTTTGAACCATTGGTTTTGTTTCCAAAGCTTCAGTACATAAACGCACTTACGTCTGTCTTACAAATGTACTACAAATGCTCTAAAGAATGCTAAAGGCAAACAGAAATGAGATGTACAGCTCTCTGCTTACAGCGTGTCACACTCGTCAGGAAAGTGAGTGAAACACACAAACATTTTTATCAAATAATATGTCATTAATAGCGGTTCACTTCCGTGATTTGGTACGATTGCGTTCACATCAGCAGCGAACCGTACCGGAGTTCACATGAACCGAACCCCAGACCACCCTTTTTAAGCAGACTTGGGTACGGTTCGCGGGTTCACAAGTTCACATCATCCAAACGAACCGAACTCTGACGTCGATCGAACCCGGGTGCGCACCAAAAGTGCTAGTGTAAAAGCACACTTAGACTGTGACATTCATCATGTTACAGTATAAACTTTCATATTACATTTGTAGTGCATGCTTATTCCTTAAAATGGGCCTCATTTACCAATTCAATGTAGAGACGAGCACAGATCCAAGGGCACAAATCAACTTACGACAGGGTTCTCTTCATGAAACATTCGTATCCTGCCAATTCCATCGTGCGAATGATCGTACGTTGATAAATGTGGTGGCTGAAAACAATCGTGTGAGTATCACGCCCCTAAAAACACCCCGGTTTAGAAGCCTTACCCCTAGAGTTTACAACATTGAGTCAATCACCTTTATTTATATATCGCTTTATACAAAACAGATTGTGTCAAAGCAGCTTTAGAGTGTCAGAAAAATAATTTGTCAATAATGCAAGAGGACAATAATGAAGAGTAATTTTTCAGTTAAAGTCAATTCATTGATTATTCAGTGATGCCATTATCCAGTTCAGCTCTCTTCCAATAGTGTCTGTGCAATCAGTCAATTGTCCCCAACTAAGCAAGCCAAAGGCAACAGTGGCAAGGAACCAAAACTCCATCGGTGACAGAAATGGAGAAAAAAACAGGCTCAGTCGGGGGGCCAGTTCTCTGGCCAGACGAAACCTGCAGTTTAATTCCATTGTGCAGAGGACTCATCTGGTTCCCGTGGTCTTGGCCCGATGGCCATCTAGTTGACGTGGTCTTCACAGTGGATCTGTTTCTGGGGCTCATCTAGTTGACATGGGGTGGTTCTTTCGGACATGAAAGTATAATGTTATTTTTTGTTTTGGTGTGAATTACTCACTAAGTGCTAAACTGCCAATAATGTAAGCCATGGGGAGACTGTAGACATCTGTGATTCATTGCATTGCATTAATAGAAAGCCAAATATAAAGATTTGTAATACAAAGTATTATAAATACATATGTGATGCAGCCATGCGCACTTACTAGACCGTCTCATTCTAGCGTTTAATGCAGAGGAGGACTCCAGCCTACAAGACTCTGAAGGACTGAACTAGGAAGGACGCAGCCTTCCGTTTGAGAAGCACCCATGGTCTCTGCTGACATTCAGGGCTGTAGAGGTCGTCTCTAGGTGCTGATCTACCATCTGGTCTGGATATGGACTGGATTTGGGTGGCTATGGTGACCTCGGAATAAGACTGAAAGAAAGTAATATTAGCATAGATGCTATTCTTATGATTTAGTGAGTACATTGGGTGTTAATGGGAAGTGTTCCCGGTTCCGGTTGACCTAATTCAGTGTTTCCCAACCACTGTGCCACAGCACACTAGTGTGCTGTGACAGGTTGGGTGTGCCTGGAAAATTATCAAAAACTTCCTTATCTCCATTTCCTTATTATTTTAAATCCGTGCTATTGGTCATTGTCTGTTTGTGGGATTTTACAAATATTTAACCAATGAAAAGCATTCAAAAGAGCTTGTGACTGAACCTCGTAATGCCACTGGATCCACAAATTGTCAGTCAAACCTCATAACTCCACACCGCTTCCATTCAGAATGAAGTGCCGCGACACGCAGTTTGAAGACAGACGTCTACTTTGCAATGCAAGGGTAAATAAAAAAAAACGAATGTTTGAACAAGTACAGTGTTTCCTTTACTCAAGAAATGCTGTCTATAAAGGCTAATGTTTTTGTGTGTTTAAAGAGCAGAGAAGAGTTAGCATTTGCTGTCTAGTTGTAGCCAATACACGTTTGTACATTTTAAATATCATAGCAGTTCATCTTTTATATTGTGATATTTTGGCCAAATGTATTAAACAACAAGAGAACCTGCGTGCTCATATAGCTACAATACACTGCAACTTGCAAACTGATGAAAACGTGACGCTATTAATTTACTGCCGCGGATTAGGCCGTTCAGGTATGGAGCTAATATTATGACAAAACAATTTGAATTTGAATGGTGTTAAATTTGAATTATTGACGAGTGTTATTTAACCAAACTGAATACTATATGGGATTTTAAATCGTTTTGAATTTGATTTTGATTTTAAATTTGAATTTTTTTTAACTTGAGTATTTAACATTTGAAATTTAACACAAATGCTTTTTTTAAGGCAGTTTTATAGACATGTATTTTCAAACAACAGATTTTTTTGTTCTGAATTCTTAGACTGCTGTTAATAAAGAATAACAATTTGGTCCCTCAGTAAATTCTCTTTGCCACCTTGAAGAATTCTCAGTTACTTAAAGTGTAGACGGCCGGGAAGTAAGAAAACACACAGTCAAATGTATCCTCAATACTTCAATTTATTCATAGAAATACAGATATTATATAGGCATATGTCGAGGGGAGTTTCATCCTCTTAACCAATGAGGATATGAATAACATACACATTAAACGGAAAGCTTCTCACTCTTCTTCCCACATATACAATGTGAGGAAAACAGATTGATGCCAAAAATGACACAATCAAATTGCAAACGAGAATAAATTCAATTTCTTTTACAGACAGGAAGAAAAATAAAAGTTCTTACCTGTCTTTTTGAGAAATTCCCGGAAGGACGAGCCCTCATTTGTCAATAAAGAATAACAATTTGGTCCCTTTGTAAATTCTCTTTGCCACCTTGAACTTTTCTCAGTCTCCTTAAAGTGTAAATACGGCCGGGAAGTAAGAAAACACACAGTCAAATGTATCCTCAATACTTCAATTTATTCATAGAAATACAGATATTATATAGGCATATGTCGAGGGGAGTTTCATCCTCTTAACCAATGAGGATATGAATAACATACACGTAGGATCTTTGGCCAAGAACATGTGTTTATATAAAATAGCCACATGTACAGAAAAACATGGACATATTAGGAATAGACTTTTGCGAAGAATGCTGAACTGTCTTCATGGTTTCATCACGAACTCCTTTACCCTTGTAGTCCTAACATTCATGTCCTTATTTGGGACATTTGAACCAAGAGAAGCTAATGTATACATTTAAGCATGCATACTTCGCATATAAGTAAGACATATTTAAAACATAATATCAAAAGAGAGAGATGGATACAGAAGGGGGAATTCAGAGAGAAAGCGTTGTATATATAAGAATGAGAGAGAGGGAGAAAAAGAAGGAGTAAGGCATGTCTGGAATCAACAGAAAGACAGAGAGTTTTTTCTAACAACTGCAAATATCCAGTTTTTAAAAATACAGCTTCAAGTTTTCAAGATGAAGAAGAAATTCGGAACATCAAATTCAGTTTTCTAAAATTCAAAACGCAGAAATTCAGATCGTACAGAAAGTAGGTCAGAGGTCATTCACAGGGAAGAGTAGATGATCTCCGAAAAGTGGAACAAAGCATTTTGGCCAATTAGAGCTGCAGTAGTTTTCTGGCGCGAGCGTGCGGCTCAGAAGGTCGCCATTCTTCTGCCTGATCATGAATCGCCCAGAGGTAAGTGATTTTTAAGCATTTATGGTTTATATTTAAATATTATGCTAGCGTTCCCAGCATGTGAAACATTTGTTTAAGCGGTCTGTGGTGTTTTAAAGTATATTTGGTGTAAAAGTGATTAGCGTGCCACCGTGTCTACACTAGACGCGACTGCGCCGCACCGCAACAGCTTCAAATGACAACGTAGCCGTTGTAAAGAGCTTGGACTATGCCAGAAATAGAACGGGGAATCCGTTTGCTGTTGGAAATTTTTTGCATTCAGTGTAGACACTATCACTGATTATAATCAACGGGTTCTACTGTTTTCTGTCGCGGCACTTCGCACCTCTCGCGTCCAGTCTAGACCAGGTGTAAGCGTCATAACTCCAGAGACGGATTAACGCACGGGCCTACTGGGCACGTACTCCGGGAACTAGGCCAGAGGGGGACCCAGCCGAAAAACCGCTCCTCCCGGAACGCGGTTTCAGCCGTGCCCCCTCAGATTTTTGAGCCAAGTGGATTTTGAATGCAGCTTCCCAAAGACAAAAAAAAAAGAAATAGCCAAATAATAGTTTTTATATTTAATATACGATCACACCAGTGTGATTAGAACATTCATTGCTGCACGTCTGCTAAATTCAAATCTGCGTTTGCTGGATGGCGCTGAGCCAGAGACAGACGCATTTTTACAGTTATGTGCATTATAACCAATCACACACGATTCTGTTGTGCTTATGAATGAAATTATCAATCAGAGGCGTTCAGATGAGTCTTTGCTGAAACGCTGGTGTTCTGCTCTGCGCGCACGCTCGCTACTCTCTGGCGAATTCTCTCATCATAAACAACAAAGTACAGATGTGCATACAATGTAAGAGATTAATTTCACAGTGTGAACAGCTTCAGTGATTATAATTCGAGTTTTTGAGAGTGCTTGAACTCTGGCTAGACTGAAGTTAATGATAATGTTCTTTGATAATGATTGATTCTTTGCTCTCTTTCTGTACAATGAAATAGTTAATTAGTTACTTACAATGTTTTGACTAATTCACGTTAAATACAAAGTCAGTCCTGTTAAAAACTATTTTATGATATGGTTAATTTGTGGTTACCATAGTTAAGTATATAGTTTTTGTTTTTAACTTGTAAAACCATGGTTAATTTTTAAGGGTATGTTAAGCTTAACTGTCAAAAACGTATGTAAATGAAGTTTAAGCGAACAGCACAAAAAGGCTAATGGTGTAAAAACGTGTAACACTTTTCTGTTTTATTTTTTTGTTGTGTGTGTGTGAGTAAATGTGCATATTTGTAATAACTTACAACAATGAGCTACCAAGTGTCAGCTTTGCAAAAGAAGTCCCTCATGAGCATTAACCATTTTGGTCTTGTCATTTATGCACTCCTTTTCCTAAGCTAACTCCTGTCTTTATTTTTACAGGTACAGATACTTCTAGAGCATATATGGGGGAGACTTCGGTCACGTTTGGAGCACGCCCTTTCACGGATGCCTGTGGATGTGGACTTCTTAGAATTTATCTGTGGTCAGGAGTTGGTTTTCCTGAGTGCTGTATCCCCTCAGGTCATCATTCCTGTGGACATATGGGAAGGCTTAACTGGTCTGCATCATGCTATTACTTTAGAGAGGCAAAGAAACGAGACACATGTTGTGACCGCACAATTTGAACAAGGAAATAGTGGACGACCAAAAGCAATCATTGGTCATGAGTATCTTGTCAATTTGCTTGAAATGAACTTACCAGTCAGGTGTATTGCAAGCCTATTGGGGGTATCTGAACGGACTGTACCTAGACGACTGGCAGAGTTCGACCTATCAGTGAGATCACTGTACAGCTCACTAACAGACGATGAGCTAGACACATTAGTGTCAAACATTAAGTCACGAATGCCAAATTCTGGATACAGGATGGTAAAGGGAGCTTTAAAAGCTAAAGGCCACAAGGTACAATATGAGCAAGTGAGGGCATCGCTGCATCGAGTAGATGCACTAGGAGTTTTATCCAGGATGACAGAGCTGGGTTGTGTTGTCCGGAGGACAACCCCAGGGCCCAGGGCCCAGATCTATGATGCACATAGACACCAATCACAAATTGATAAGGTAAGTTTATATCTTGTTGTTACTCAACATATTCATTTTAACAGTATTGTCTTAAGATGGAAACTTGTGTCTGATGTAGCGGTTCTCAAACTCTGGCCCTTGAGGTCTATTTTCCTGCAAAGTTAAGCTCCAACCCTAGTCAAACACATGTGAACAAGCTAATCAAGGTCTTCACTAGGATTACTAGAAAATAATAGGTAGGTGAGTCAATCAAGATTGGAGGTAAACTCTGCTATAGAGTGGATCTCGAGGGCCAGAATTGAGAACACTAATCTAATGCCTTTGGTTTCAGGTATAACATTGTCTTGTTTGGAGGGGTGGATGGCTTTTCACGAAAGGTGATTTTGTTTTTGTTGTACAGTATAACGCAACATTGGAATTGTTAATGTACCAGATAAATAGAACTAACAACGCTATTTCTAATTCTACAGATAATGTACCTGGGCCCTGCCACAAACAATTCAGCATTGACTGCGCTGACCTTCTTCCAAGAGTCTGTGGAAAGATATGGCTTCCCTCTCAGGTAAGTTGTGTTATGGAGTAATAAAGATAAAAGTACACACGTTTGTTTTCACCCAAAAATAAAAACTATCATTATTTACTCACACTCATGTCGTTTCAAACATGTAAGACCTTTGCTCATCTTCGGAACACAAATTAAAATATTGTTGATGAAATCTGAAAAGTCTCTTGACCCTTCATAGACAGCAAGGGTCCTACCACAGTCAAGGCACAAAAACATAGTAAGGACATCGTTAAAATAGTCCATGGACCATTTTAACAATGTCCTTACTACATTTCTGTGCCTTCGCCGTAGTAGTATCCTTGCTGTCTATGGAAGGTCAGAGAGCTCTCGGATTACATCCCAAAATTATCATAATTTGTGTTCCCAAAGGGATTGTGTTCCTTTAAAGGGATACTTCAGCCAAAAATGAAAATTGTCATAATTTACTCGCCCTCATGTCATTCCAAATCTTTTTAGTTCCTTAATGAATCCAGAAAAAAATGATCAGATTCCAAAAAAATATTAAGCAGCACAACCATTTCCAACACTGATAATAACAGAGTATCAAATCAGCATATTAGAATGATTTCTGAAGGATCATGTGACACTGAAGACTGGAGTAATGGCTGGAGAAAATTCAGCTTTGATCACAGAAATAAATTATATTTTAAAGTATATTAAAAAACATTATTTTAAATTGTAATGTTTCACAATATGAGAATTTTATAAAAAATATTTTTTTGTAGCCTCCACTTAATTTTTATTAATGTTCTTCACCAGGAACATTATATTATGCATTATGTTAAGTATTAAAACATTGTAATGACCATAAAGTTGGCCAAGACAGGGTCAGAGGAGACCATGGAGTCGAGAACATGGACATTGCACATTTAATGTTCACAGTTCGTGGGACAGGGAGAAGCAGTTTCATTTCAGGAAAAAGTGTCCACAATCAAAGGTATGTAAAGAAAGTATTGTGTAGCAGACATATCTTCTATGTAACCTTATGCTTTATTCTCCAAATGCTTGTTTGAACCAACTTATTGCTTAGGAATTATCTTGTGATGCTTTATGTTGTAGAATAGAACGACTGTGGAGAGATGTGTGGACTGCCGTGACCAGTGTGTGTACTATGTACTACACTATCTTGAGGAAGCCAACTACCTTCATACTGCAGACCAAACACGTCTCTTCTGTTGCCACTACACATTCCTACTAAGGCTACAAGATGATCTAAATCTTTTCCGATGGGTGGGATAATCACCCTTTGAGAACAAAACACAACATGTCTCCAAACCAGCTCTGGGAATTGGGTCAAATTTATTATCCAGTTGATGATCCCCAAGATGAAGAGGTATTATTGTTCATGCAAATTTACAGCCATGTTTAAATTTTTTTTTTTAGAAATATTACAGGGGTTGTGAGAATTAATGTTCCTTCACTGACATTTAAACACTTAATTAGCATTGTAGTACTCGTATAAATGTAGTATTTGGAACTATTACAGGAACTGAGATTGTATACCATTTATACAGAAATGTTGTTCTTTGTTTACCTAGGAACTGAACATTGCTGATATTGATTGGGAAAGCAGTGGATTGCCTCCTGATGAAAGTGTTGGTGTTAATGTTCCTACTGTAGAATGTCAACTTGCAGCACTGAAGGATACAGGGGATCCAAGATCACCATCACAATTCCACGGGATAGACATTTATACGGCTGCAATGCAGTTTTGCCAGTCACGACACATTAAGTAGACACATGAAGTGCTGGAACTGAATAAATTTATTTGATGAAAAATATATATATATTTTTTTTCCCCCCAAGAACTGTTTCATTAAGCTAAATTGCTCTGTTGAAAACTATTGCATAGTGGTTTACTAAAACTGACCAACAAGTTCAAACAACACAGGACAAACTGTGGTACTGTAACTTAATTTATACATGGTGTCTGTATTACTGTATTCAATTTCACATAACTATGAAAGCCCAAAACCAATCTCAGACGTGCCAGTGCACTTAAGGAGCTCGTCCTTAAAATGGCTGAAATCCATGTAATGACTTGGTAATCGTAGCATGTTGAAGCAAGTGGAGGACTTTGGCATGTCAGCAGTAACAACTTCCACTACCATCTTTCTGTCTGGCACTTCCCACCCCAGCCAAAATTTCACCAAGTCTTTAAGGTCAGAGCTGGATGCTAGATAAAGCGGGGAAAAAAACATTTACATTTCAATCATGGGCAGGTCAAAGAAGAAGAAAAAATAAAAAGTTTCCTATTTGAGAAATAGAGTAGTGGAAGTATGATGGCAAAACACCACCCTCTGGTTCCCACAAGACTTTCCTATGGGCTTTTAAGATGAGTTTCTTCAATTTATGAGTAAAATAAATTCTGTATTAAACATAACTCGACAATCCTTTGATGTTTTGTTCTGCAGCGTAAACACACATCCCAGACATTAAAAGCATATATTTTCAAAAATTAACAAATGCTTCACAACTCATGATTTGTGGGTGAGTGTGTGCAGTTTACATTGTAGAAAATAATATCAAAGTATTGTCAAGTTACATTTATCACAGGCTTTATTTTTACTCATAATTGATAAAACACCATGGGAAAATCTTGGAGGAACCAGTGGTGAAATCATTTTTCAGTTTCTGATGTCATCCCTACCACCACTCCATGATTTAGTCCAGGTCATCAAACATGCCCAGTGTTGTAAAATCCAGCAAACTGTATCAAGTACATTTCATACAGACCTAATAAAAAAAATGTAAAGATTTATACCTGTCTCAATGAAGTGACGCAAATACCCTGAGATGCGACATCTATCTTCTAGTGAACAATCGTGGTCGTTGTCATCATCATCATCATCCACACTGCTATCAGAGGGCCAGCAGATACAGGGAAGCAGCATCTGGAAACAATTATACATTTCTATTGCAACAGTACTATATGCACATCACTTTATAACCAAATTAAACTTACCAAAGGGGTGAGTGAATTTTCACATTCCCTCTGAAAGACATCCACATCTTTCCTTTCAGTCAGCAGTGGCCACGCTCTGGTTTCTTTGAGTCCTTTACGTATTTGTTTCACCTGCCGTAATCTCCTTCCAATGACCTATTGTATTGCATATATTAGATTATTAGGTTACATGAATACAATTAATATTATAGTACACCAATGCTTAAGTTTGAAGGTTAATTAAACAAAAGAAAAA